GGTGCACGAGGGAGGTGGCGGAGAGCGGTCGCCCGCAGCAGCCGGAGGCGGCCAAGCAGCCAAGGCGAAAAGAATTTTACCACGGATGGGGGTGGAGAGATCGGGCGGAGGAGCCCTGAGTGGCGATGTCGGGTGAGAGTGTACGTCATGCTCGTGTCTAGTGTCTGGTGTTTACTAGCTCCGAGTAGAGGGGGCGTTCCGCCGCTAGGGGACACCCAAAGCGCAGAACCAACCCTCGGAGACCCGTGTTTACTTTAAGGCCCTTGCCCTGCGAATGCGCACCCCCGGGGCTAGGGCTCTCTAGCCCGTAACCCGATCCCGATCATCCGGCCCGCTGGGTGCGCTTCTTAGCTCCCCGGCCCTGGATGTGAGGTTACCGACTGCACTCCAAGTGCTCCAAGTGCTCCATCGCACGACACTGGGCACGGGACCGTCCGACTATAGTGACTAGCACACCTCTGTCAAGAGTCCCCAGAACCCGAGGAGTCACACAGTCCACCTGTGTGATGCACGCCCTGTGAGCGGGGCGGGGTGCGCACTGTACCTCTGTGTTCGTGCGTTGCCCATCTCTACGGGAGATGACTGCTCTATTTATTTATTTGGGCACGGTTTTACAAAGGCCCAGATTACCAGCTTGGGAAGTTCTCGCTCGACTACGGCATGCAAGTCGAGGTTGTTGGGCCTTGCCGTGATGCAGCCGGGCGTAGCCTCGGCGCGAAGGAGTGGCTTGACGTGATGCAGCCGGGCGGTGAGCAGAGAATCCCTTGCGCCGCGAGCAACCTGAGCCACGCTGAGCCACCCGCCCGCTCCGCCGCCGCGGAGCTTTCCACTGCGCAGCTGCGAGCGCGGCGCGCGCTCGCGTCTCGCAGGGATGAGCAGGAGCGGGCTGCTGCGGGAGCGCCGCTGGCGGCGGAAGAGCTCGCAGCCGAGGCGGAGCGGCGGCAGCAGCTGGCGGCCGAGCTCTTGGAGGAGGAGGCGGCGGCCAAGGCACCGTCGCCGACGGAGGCGGGGAAGAAGAGAAAGAAGAAGAAGTTTCGCAAGCCGAGCAGAGGCACTGCGCAGGAGGCGGAAGCGGGGCAGACTAGCGGGATGGGGGCAGGCGCCTCCAGCGCCGTGCCGCCAACGCCTTCCGAGGACGGCTCGGCAGGCGGCGACACGCCCGAGGCGGCGGAGGCGGAGTCGCACGATTCGACCGCAGAGAGCGAGGGGGAGTACGTGACGCCGCTCGAGGAGGCGAGGCGGGCTGAGGAGGCGGAGCGGGCGGAGGAGGATGAGAGGCAGGCGAGGCTACTGCTCGAGGCGGC